CCCTGGCCGTCAGACTCCGCCCAGAAGGCAGAGACTGATAAGGTCAAAGGGACGTCTAACCCAGAGTTCAATTCAAAGCATCAGTTTGATATTGATCGTAAACAGATGCGTAGCTTACAGCGTGGTTTTAAACGTCAGCCATTGCGTTGTTCATTATACCAGTCTCGTTCTTTATTTCGTAGCTCAGTATTCATAGGAATGGCCTCAATACCTCTAGAGACACTAGAGAACAAATGTGAAGTGAGAGCATCAGAGGATCTAAAGGATGAGAAAGGACGGAGAGCAACCGGAGGGAAACTTGAAGTGTATGTTCGTCTACGTGAGCCTCTTAGCGGTTGTGATCAAGAGGAGAAAGAGCAGAAGTGGTTAGTGTTCCAGGAAGCCATTGCTAGTGAGTCCACTGTATCCATGGTACGTCCGATGGTTAGTACAGGACCTGCATCTTCTCCAATAAAAGTGGAACAGACTACTAGTCTTGATGCTCTTAAATTAGAGTTCTCTCTTGTACAAAATGCCATCAAAGCTGGTAAGAAGGATCCTGCTATTGTTCAGCGTGGCCGTGCCTTACAGTCTAAGATTCAAGAGACTAAGCAAAGACTTCAAAGTGATGCTGGGTTCAGACGAGAGTACTTGTCCGCCATTGCCCGGGAAATAAAGACAGAGAAGGTTTATGAGCAACAGCTAGTGCAGGCTGGCAGGACTGGAGAGGCTAAGATAATACAAGGAAGGAGGAGAGTAATGGAAAATGAAATATCTAAAATGACTAAAAAATAAATATTTGTGTTGATTTTTAGTAGCTAATAATTTTGCTAGTTTATATTTATGATTTTGTGTAAGAGTTGTTATAAGTATTGATTTATTTTATCAGCAATAATGTATTCTTATTGTATAACCATTGAGATTTAGACAATTTCAAACCACAGTGGGGTGTGTAGATTGATTTGATAGTATATTTTACCTTGCAAGAAAAGTCAGAGTTACTTTTTGTCTGGAGAAGAGTCTGTGATCCATTTTTAAGACAAAAATCAGTTCATGGTAAATCATTATAATAAATAATTATTAATCCATTTCTTGTGTTATAATACAGGACAAAGTGAGTAATCTTTCTGTGAAAATGTGTAATGTTTTTAATTTACATGTGTATCTATTCTCCTTTTTATGTTTAATTTCATTCATTTATCTGTGATACGCAAACTCTTATTTAGGAAGTAATTTCAGATGATTGTTTACCTGTGTATCTATTGTCCTTTCTATGTTTAATTTCATTCATTCATTTGTGGTACACAAACTTTTATTTACAACACAATAGCCAGTAAGTACTAATCTATTTTAATTTCAAATGATTGTTCACATGTTTATCTATTGTCCTTTTTATCTTTAATTTCATTCATTCATCTGTAATACACATGCAAACTATTTAAATCAATAGGAAGTAAGTAGATCTAGACTACCCTATTTTAATTTCAGATTATTGTTTACATAAATATAATATTATCCTTTCTATCTTTTGTATGCATTTCACCATGTATTATTCATAATTTACAACACAATAGTGGGTAAGTGCTAATCTAATTTCAGATGATTGTTAAGTGTATCTATTGTCCTTTCTATCTTAAATTTCATTCATTCATCTGTGATACACAAACTCTTATTTATAACACAACAGAAAGTAAGTACTAATATATTTTAATTTCTGATGAATTTACATGTGTATCTATTGTCCTTTTTATTCATTAATTTGTGATGCACAAAATCTTATTTCCAATTTAATAGATAGTAAGTGCTATTGTACTTTAATTGTTTACATGTGCATTTATTTTTGACCTCATTTATTCATCTGTGGTGCACAAACTCTAATATACAACACAATAGATTGTAAGTATTAATCTATTTTAATTTCAGATGATTGTTTACATGTGTATTTATTGTATTTTCTATCTTTAATTTCATTCATTCATCTGTGATACACAAACTCTTATTTACAACACAATAGTCAGTAAGTACTAATCTATTTTAATTTCAGATGATTGTTTACATGTGTATTTATTGTATTTTCTATCTTTAATTTCATTCATTCATCTGTGATACACAAACTCTTATTTACAACACAATAGTCAGTAAGTACTAATCTATTTTAATTTCAGATGATTGTTTACATGTGTATCTATTGTCCTTTCTATCTTTAATTTCATTCATTCATTTGCGATACACAATTTTTATTTGCAACACAACAGGGAGTAAGTACCATATTTACATGTGTATCTATTGTCCTTTCTATCTTTAATTTCATTCATTCATTTGCGATACACAATTTTTATTTGCAACACAACAGGGAGTAAGTACCATATTTACATGTGTATCTATTGTCCTTTCTATCTTTAATTTCATTCATTCATTTGCGATACACAATTTTTATTTGCAACACAACAGGGAGTAAGTACCATATTTACATGTGTATCTATTGTCCTTTCTATCTTTAATTTTATTCATTCATCTGTGATACACAAAGTCTTATTTATAACACAACAGAAAGTAAGTACTAATATATTTTAATTTCTGATGAATTTACATGTGTATCTATTGTCCTTTTTATTCATTAATTTGTGATGCACAAAATCTTATTTCCAATTTAATAGATAGTAAGTGCTATTGTACTTTAATTGTTTACATGTGCATTTATTTTTGACCTCATTTATTCATCTGTGGTATACAAACTCTAATTTACAACACAATAGATTGTAAGTATTAATCTATTTTAATTTCAGATGATTGTTTACATGTGTATCTATTACCTTTGCTATCTTTAATTTCATTCATTCATCTGTGATACACAAACTCTTATTTACAACACAATAGATTGTAAGTATTAATCTATTTTAATTTCAGATGATTGTTTACATGTGTATTTATTGTATTTTCTATCTTTAATTTCATTCATTCATCTGTGATACACAAACTCTTATTTACAACACAATAGGAAGTAAGTACTAATCTATTTTAATTTCAGATGATTATTTACATGTGTATCTATAATTTTAATTTTTATCTTTAACTTCATTCTTTCATCTGTGATGCACAAACTCAATTGCAACACAATAGGAAGTAAGTAATTACCTATTTTAATTTCAGATGATTGTTTACATGTGTATCTATTGTCCTTTCTATCTTTAATTTCATTTGTTCAACTGTGATACACAAACTCTTATTTACAGAGAGTAAGTACTAATCTATTTTAATTGAGATGATTGTTTACATGTGTATCTATTGTTCTTTCTATCCTTAAATTCATTCATTCATTTGTAAATCTTATTTACAACACAATAGAGAGTAAGTACTAATCTATTTTAATTTCGGATGATCGTTTACATAAATATCTATAATTGTCATTTTTATTTTTAATTTCATTCATTTACTTGTGATATGTGAACTCTTATTTACAACACAATAGGAAGTAAGTAATAATCTATTTTAATTTCGGATGATTGTTTACATGTGAACTTATAATTGTCCTTCCTATTTTTAATTTCATTCATCTGTGATACACAAACTCTTATTTACAACACAATAGAGAGTAAGTACTAATCTAGTTTAGTTTAATTCAGATGATTGTTTACATGTGTATCTATTGTCCTTTCTATCTTTAATTTCATTCATTCACCAACTCTCATTTACAACACAATAGAAAGTAAGTACTAATCTATTTTAATTTCAGATGATTGTTTACATATATATCTATTGTCCTTTCTATCTTTAATTTCATTCATTCATCTGTGATACACAATTAACTCTTATTTACAACTCAATAGAGAGTAAGTACTAACCAATTTTAGATGAGATAATTGTTTACATGTATTACATGTATATCTATTGTTTTTTCTATCCTTAAAATCGTACAATCATTTGTGACACACAAACTCTTATTTACAACACAATAGAAAGTAAGTAGTAATCTAGTTTAATTCATATGATTGTTTACATGTGTATCTATTGTCTTTTCTATCTTTAATTTCATTTGTTCAACTGTGATACACAAACTCTTATTTACAGAGAGTAAGTGCTAATCTATTTTAATTGAGATGATTGTTTACATGTGTATCTATTGTTCTTTCTATCCTTAAATTCATTCATTCATTTGTAAATCTTATTTACAACACAATAGAGAGTAAGTACTAATCTATTTTAATTTCAGATGTTCGTTTACATAAATATCTATAATTGTCATTTTTATTCTTAATTTCATTCATTTACTTGTGATATGTGAACTCTTATTTACAACACAATAGGAAGTAAGTAATAATCTATTTTAATTTTGGATGATTGTTTACATGTGAACTTATAATTGTCCTTCCTATTTTTAATTTCATTCATCTGTGAATCACAAACTCTTATTTACAACACAATAGAGAGTAAGTACTAATCTAGTTTAGTTTAATTCAGATGATTGTTTACATGTGTATCTATTGTCGTTTCTATCTTTAATTTCATTCATTCATCTGTGATACAAAAACTCTTATTTACAACACATTATAGGAAGTAAGTACTAATCTAGTTTAGTTTAATTCAGATGATTGTTTACATGTGTATCTATTGTCCTTTCTATCTTTAATTTCATTCATTCACCAACTCTCATTTACAACACAATAGGAAGTAAGTACTAATCTATTTTAATTATGGATGATTGTTCACATGTGTATCTATTGTCCTTTTTTATTGTTAATTTCATTCATTCACCAACTCTTATTTACAACACAATAGAAAGTAAGTAACAATCTATTTTAATTTCAGATGATTGTTTACATATATATCTATTGTCCTTTCTATCTTTAATTTCATTCATTCATCTGTGATACACAATTAACTCTTATTTACAACTC